ATGTGTTGCACATCCGGCCTTCCTCTCATCTCTTCCGCCTCCTCTTCATCGCGTGCGGAGTTGCAGCGGGTCCCCTCGTTTCTTTTTATTTCTCGAGTTGAAACAACGACATACTTCGTGGCCCGTGCTCTTTTATCTATTTGGTGTGGCGGTAGCCTCAGGCTCGGCAGCCTTGGCGCGCAAGCTTAAATCATCCTCAGACCGAAGCACCCGGTAGGTACTGGTGGTTTAACATCACTATACAACCTCAACCATACTATCACAGCACTTATTTTTGGACGACTGACCTTTGATAAGTACGGCCGTTTTAGCCAGGATTTGATATATCATGGTCGCTGCTTTAGAAAGGCAGCTGATCTGGTGAGTCGGTGCTTTTGCAAAGTACGCTCTTGTACTCTAGCACGCTCCGCAACTCGCTTCACCTACGCCGCTTGCCATGTTCGCGTCGTTGAGCACCTGCTGCCTACATCCCCGTGTGCCATAACGGCGTACTTTCGCTCTTCGAAAAAGACCCCAAGTAAAAAGAGCAGACATGAAAAGAGAGCATAGATGTACAGGACGACGTCGCGACGTGAAAGGGAAAGTAAGAAGTTCTGAATGAAGCGATCACAGCGTAAGAATAGGAGAAGACGTGGGAGTCGGTTTGGCCCTCACAACAGAGGGGGCATGAATGATAGGTATGGGATAGATGACAGCATGGATGAGTTAGGTAAGCATTCTCAGCACAACAATTGACGGCTTTCCATGAAATATGCTGACCAAACTGCCATTCATTATAACCTAGTCCCTGGCCACAAAATGGACACGTGGCGTCTGGACATAGAGGGTGACTGCAGTCAGGAAACGTGGGGTGGCGATCTGCACACACACATGCACCAACCCTGGCACTGTAGTGATTGCGAAGAGACAATGACGCCTGCAGCCTATTGCTGCAGTGTCCGTAGCTGTGCACAGAAGGTTGCCAAGCGTTGACACTGTGTCCTGCTGCGGCACAGGGGCAGAGACTTTATCGCACACAAAAAAAGTTGGCGGGATGGCGAATGGAACCACTCACCCAGCCGAGCATGGCACTGTTCAAGTTGGCGGTTCATTATAACGTCTTGTACTAGACTACCAGCTGTGCCGGCCGGATCACCCTGTTTTCCCGGGCGGCCCGGCCGTGCAACGACGAAGGAAGAAAGGTCCCAGCAAAAAAAAAAAAAANAAAAAAAAAAAAAAAAAAAGCACCAAAAAATCCGAAAAACGACTGTGTTATGCAGAAAAATAAACTGAACAACTTTTGCCTCCGGGTCACATCGAAATTCTTTACCAAATTTTAAATTTAAAAAAATAAAGTTGAAACATATTTTTTATAATTTTATAATTCAATTTGTTTTTGGCCCGGCCGGGCAAGTGGTCCCAGGCCAGACTGGTAGCCTAGGTCTTGTAGGAATTGTCAAGCCACTTTCTGGTCTGATCACTACCCTCTGCCCTTGACCACCAGTATTTGGCCCAAGTATCGGCCATGGAAAAGAATCAGGAGTAGAAACGTTTCTAGTCGGATGATTTGGGGCGCTCCTGTCATGGCCCGTATGTTTCCTAAAATTGTGGCTTGTTAACGGCCACAACTTTAGGAAGTCCTTGTGGTTTAAATCACCAGTACTTGGCCCAGCTATCGGCCGCGGAAAAAAATAGAGTAGAAACATTAAACGTTTCTAGTTGGATGAATTTGGGCGCTCCTGTAGTGGCCCGTACGTTTCCTAAAATCGCAAGCGTTAACGGGCACGACTTTAGGAAGTCCTGGCGGTTTAAGCAGGGAAGATCCACATCAAGCTGAAGGGCCATGGCAAGAAAGTTCAACTTTGAATAACGTGGGTGGCGAAAGATGTGCAGACACGCAACAAAATCAGGGGATCGCAGATCACAGAGATCTCCCAGTCGTCGTGTGCATGCTGGACCGCCGGGCACTGGTCAATAATTTGGAAGCTACTCAGACAGTGCTCCACACCTGGATTGCCTCTTTCGAGTCTTTTCTTCTTTCTCTGGCATCTTTCCTGGTAGGCCTTTTGCAGATCATCTGTTCAATGTCTACTCCCTTTGGTACACCTCAAAAGCTGGGCGAATCGTGTGCCAAGCCTGGGAGTTCGGGGACTGATACCTTGAGTGAGGACTGCACCCTGGGTGATGACTGGCACCTTGAGTGGGGATTGCACCCTGAGTGTGAAGTGCACCCTCAGCGAGGACTGCACCCTACTTTTTTTTACACTTGGACCCAATCCCTCAAGAGACGCCATCCTCCCACCTTTCAATACTCCCTGGTGTTCCCCCACTTGAGTATCCTGCTCTGCAGGTGATCGTGAATCTCAGATGCTGTACAGCATGAAATACCATCTAGTTAAAAAATAAAAAGAAATACTGTGTAGTGGGCAGCTTCTAGCCAGAACAAATCTCCGTCCTGGTCAGTTGTTCACAGATCTCACATGCATTCTACGGCGCGTGTAGGGCAATTTGCAAGTGAGCCCATGTATCCATCTCTCTTCCTATCGACCCTTGTCCTGGCACTGATTCGCATGGGTCTTCTCCAACAGGGCACCATGCACCTCCAGACCATGGGCCTTGCATGTCATTAAAAAATAAAAAGAAATACGGTCTAGTGGCAGCTTCTAGACAGAACAAACATCCGTCCTGGTCAGTCATTCACAGATCTCGCATGCGTTCTACGGCGCGTGTAGGGCAATTTGCAAGTGAGCCCATGCATCCATCTCTCTTCCTATCGACCCTTGTCTTGGCACTGATTCGCATGGGTCTTCTCCGACAGGGCACCATGCACCTCCAGACCATGAGCCATGCATGCCATAAACCACAACACGCGCACGATGACCAAATGTCGCAAACAACCACCATCACCCCTGTGGCCAGAATACCCTCCAGGCCTACTGACGCTACAGTCGGACGTTGAAAGGGAAAAAGTGATCGCACTGTTGGGATTGCAGATAAGGAAAACCTTCCCCGTCCAGAAAGAGGCCTCCGGTTGTCACGGTTCATATCCGATCTCTCCATCTGCTTTCCACATGGATGGCGAAACAGGAGAGACGCACCCCCCGCCCCACCCTATCTGGACAGTGCGACCGTGCAGAACAACCAAACTCACACTGAGTGAACACGTCTGGCATGTAGATTCTTTTCTGAGCAATTTTGCATTCAGTGTGGAAGCATGGTTGCATCCAAACAAGGCTAAAGTTTTGGCGGGCAAGCTCCATGACAGTACACTGTCAGGCTTAATTCGGAGGCGAGGTGTTCTGTACTCGCCCCCATCCTACATCACAATATATTTTTCTTCCTGATTGTGATTTGATCTTCTTCGTGTCATGAATGTCGTTGGTTCGTGTTCCCCCAGCCTCACAAGATTTCTTCATCCCCTACCTCCCAAAACTTGGGACGACTACCGGGCCATAATTGCTGGCAGTGCCAGCCAAGAAAGAAAAGCAGTGCGCTGCTTGCGGTTTGGCAAAGCTTGGCACGTAGAGTGGCGGCGCCATGCCCGGGTGCACTGGTGGGTTTAATGTCATTTCACCACAAGAAAAACCCGAGTCCAGACAAAATGGTTCAAGAGACCGCCACAGAGCGGGGGCTGCACTCCGAGCAGGACAGTACCCTGAACTGCTCTGCTCTGCAGGGAGACTCGTCAATCTCTAATGCTGTGGCGCACGAAACACAATCTTGTGACAAAATGCAAGACGTTCATCTCAGCAAAGGACATCAGAGGAGCGGTCTGGAGCACGGAAACGTTGACAACCTGTGGAATACCAAGAGACTCGGGAGAGGTTGGAGATGAGAATGTCTCCAGCGATGAACGTTGCACAGTCGCAACAAGAAAGTCTGTTCACCATCAACTTGATGGCATCATGACCGTGGAGGAGATTGTGGGCTGCCGGAGAGGAAACTACAGCATAGGTTAGCAACAATTGGGGAAGGTGTGGTCCATGCAGTACCTACTGTACCTTATACCACCCCGACTAATACTTGCCAAAAGTGCTCAGAGTACAAAAGAGTCGTCCTTCAGTCGGTGCGCAGGCATGCCGAGCTCGCGGCTTTAAAATTATGAGGTCACCCTATCGGAAATTGAGTGGACGCAAGTACTCAGCTCCCAAGCAAGCTTGATGGGATCAGAAAGACCTTACGAGCTCAATTCTTTCAGAACGAAATTCCTTCGAATTCCTGTATATACACAGGCGCCATACATGTTGTTCACAAAAGATCATTCACAAGCACATAAAGTACGAAAACATTGTGCCAAGACCTAGTCCGTCCATCCCCGTGCTACCTGATGCAACCCAGGCGAAGCATCCCTGTGCTACCAGTTGCGATCTGGCGAACAGCACTGCAACAAACACAGATTCTCTCTCTCTCTCTCTCTCTCTCTCTCTCCACCCCCCCCTCCACCCCTATGCTACCTGATGCAATCCAGACGAAGCATCCCTGTGCTACCGATCTGGAGAAGAGCACTGCAACAAACAAAGATTCTCACTCTCTCTCTCCCCCTCCACCCGATCTGGCAAATAGCACTGCAACAAACACAGATTCTCTCTCTCTCTCTCTCTCTCTCTCTCTCTCTCTCTCTCTCTCTCTCTCTCTCCCCCCACCCCCATGCACCATACATGTTCTTCAGAAAAGATCATTCACAAGCACATAAAGTAAGAAAACATTGTGCCCAGACCTAGTCCGTCCACCCCTGTGCTACCTGATTCAATCCAGACGAAGCATCCCTGTTCTACCGGTTGCGATCTGGCGAAGAGCACTGCAACAAACACAGATTCTCACTCTCTCTCTCTCTCTCTCTCTCTCTCTCTCTCTCTCTCC